TCGCCTTGTCTGAAACCTCGTTTGGTATCGAACGGCTCGGAGAGGTCCTTCCCGATTCTGACGGAGCTTTTCGTGTTGCTCAACGTCAGCTTACACAGCCGTATTAGTTTTGCGGGGATACCAAATTCAGACATCGAATGAATGTGTACAGTGTAATTAAATATACATTAAATGAAAAATGTGTGAAAAGTAAGTTAAACATAGTGAAATAACGAGCATTGTTTTTACAAATTTTTGAACTTCAAATAGAAATATCTCGAAAACTCTGAGTCTGAGAAAGGTATATGTGTTTTTTAATCCGACACGATTCCGATTACTTTGGCGGAAGGGTAAAAAACCGAATTTCCGTATAAATGGGGTACGTGTGGATAGTTGAGCTTCTCAAGAGAAGGAAAATAATATAAAAATAACTTATATTTTTTAAAATATTCACTATTAAAAATTAAAAAATTTGCACTAACAGCACATGGTATTTCTCCATGTTTCACAGAATTTTTTTTACATTTTTATACATTGGTATATTTAAATATACACTCTAAACATTGATACAAGTTCACATTTGATTTTATTTTTGTAATATTTTAGGGAAATTTATTAATTTAAAAATCACTTGGCACACTCATCGTTGCAAAGTTTAGACTGTTCAAATTATCATATTCATATATTAAACGCAAAATTTGTAGGATTCTTAACGATTTTTCTTTGTTTGTTTTTTGCGTGATTCTTTTTTCTATATTAGTTATAATAAAAAATACTTTACAACAATTTTGAAGTTATAATATTGAGTTGTGAACACTTTTCATATACATATATATGTATAATATGCGATTTATGTTTAATAAAGACAAATAAGTAAAAATCTATGATAATATTGTAAAATCGAGTTGACTGAAGTACTTTCGCGTAGTACTTCTTACTGCGTTGGCGGCCTTCGGCCGCGCTTTTAAAAAAATTACCCTGGTCGACCTAACACCCGGGGAGACTAAAGTACTTCCGCGTTGTACTCCTTTAAAAAATAATCCAGATCTAGCCACTACCCGGGGTAACCCAAGTATTTTATCATTTTATTACGTATTATTATATAATATTATATAACCTAGTCGTTTGTTAAATTTAATTAAGAAAAAATTCATATGCCTGGAAAGATTCTTTATACTTATTTTAATTTGAAATATAATTTATAGACACACTTGTTTTTGTTAGATATAAGATTGCTAAGTAAAGAAAGATTTTTTTTTTTTTTTTATTTTATAAAAGCTTACATAATAAKACAATTATTATACAAACTAAGAAAATACGCAGCACTAGCATCATGGGCTATCGGCCGACTGGTTATATTATATGCGTCGAAGAAGGTCGCTGTCTTTCAAAAAGTTNCAGAACAAACCGTTATACCGTTTTAACAAACTCAATAAGCAAAGAGCGAAAAGCAAYCGGTTACGATGACAGTTCGACGGTGAATGAAAGAAAGATTAATTATATCGAAATAGAGAAATTCAGCAAATTGCTCATATTTGCTTATTATCATATGGCAGCTCTCCATTTTCTCATAATTGTTAGCACATAAATGATTCTCACTTCGAGTGTAAAAAGAAATTTTTAAAATAAAGATTTAAAAATCCTGCAAAAAGTGAAAAATGTGGATGTATTTAAATGTTTATAGTTTAATTTAAGTACTTTGAAGTTAAAAATGTGCGAAAAGTGTGTTTAGTGCGATGAAATAGCTTGTTGGTATGTTCGAATTTTTGAACTTTAAGGTCAAATATCTCGTAAACTAAGCTTTTGCGGTACCTATATATAATATATCCTATATTTTTAATCAGAAGGACTTCAAATCGCTTAACCAAAAAAATCGGAATTGTGCCTTTAATCCTGAATCCAAAAGATCGTAATATTGCCATTTATACTATGGTACGTATAGAAGTTTCGCTTATCATTTTTAAACCTTTTAGAAAGTTTATTTGGTAGCACTGTAATTTAACCGATTAGTAATTTTATAATCGAGTAAGCCGGATTTAACCATCTTTATTCCGAATAATATTTTGACATAATGATTTAGGTTTAAAGCACTTGTTTCTTTGCAAACATTTAAATTGATTTTGAAAACAAAATGGCAAATATAACTTCAAGAGTTTTTGCGGCCATGCAAAATTTGGATATTGCAGCTCTTTCCACTTATCCATCTCACGAAATACGTCCGGTGTTACCTTCACTAGTACGGATGAGTTTATTGTCGCCTCTTGATAACACGGAATCATCAATGGAATCGCGGAAACAAATTTTAGCTGTTCTCATTGGAATAGAAGTTGTAAATAGTATAGTTTCGTATTTGCAAGTGAATTACCATGAGTTAGAACAGGAATTAAAAAAAGAGCTGCAAGCACGGCAGAAGTCGGTGTACTTCGAAGGGCAGCAGCATGAATTTGGTTTGCAAACCGGTATAGCTCTCGGATTTGAGCGCGCAGATGTTACTCGGAAGGTGCGAGTTGTTTTATCTGAGATTTTTAATATTCAATGGCAATTATCGGATCAAAAAACATTTTTGCAATCGGAAATTCTGGACGATGGAATCTATTTGGAGGAAGTTGTGGATATTTTATGTATTGCCTTGGCGGAACTTCCTTCCTTATTGAATATTTTGGAGTTAGCGGATGCTTTGGTGCATGTGCAAAATGGACAACGTATTATTTGCGCTTTAGTGGCAAATTTTCCTGATTGCTACAGGGATGTGGTTACACATATTATTCTGAATTGTGATGAGGAAAGTAATGAAGGGAAACTAAAACTCTCATTATTAATGGCGCTAAACGAAATGAATCCATCCCAAGCATTGCCAACGCGATCTATATGCGTAGAGATTCTAAAAGTTCCTTCTTTTATGCTCAAACTTTGTTTAAAGTTTCCCGAAGACTTGGTAAGTAATAATTTACATATTCATTAACTTTGTTTAGTAACTATGCAGAAGTTCGGTGCTTCAGACAATCAGATAGTCTTTCGTTATTTTAGAAATCGACGAAATATGTCAAAACAATATTTAATATTCGTTTAAAGGTAATTATTCAATTATTATGAATATGAAATCCGTCATGATTATATATAGGTATAATACGCCTTTTTTAAATAAAATATATAGTAATACATCGTTAATAAACATACATTTCAATTTACACTATGAGTTCTCTGATTATGAAGTTTTCTTAGGCAACCTAACTAATAAATTCATATTTAAAGTAGAAAATTTAATTGCGCTATTCATCAGTATTGACAAAGTGCGAACGAACGCATTTGCAAGTTGATGCTTATGCGTTTGTATATCAATTAATAATTTTGTAATTAAAGATAAGGAAATCCTATATCAAGTATAATATTAAATATAGAATAATCATAAATTGCTACTCTTTGTTTTCTTTATATGACAATAACAGATTCACATTTTGAGAATACAACTGTTTAACCTGTTACGATTTCCGCTTTCACAGTTGCCTTTTAGGGATACTTTAAAAAAACCACTACAAAAGGAAAAATCATTTCGTGTCTACATGTATATTTATTTCATATGTACTCATACGTTTATATTCTCTTAGGTGGCCTTTCTCACTGGAATGCTACTCGGCAATGATCAAAATGTTCGGACGTGGTTCGCTATTTATATAAGGTCAAGTCAGAAAAGAAAGAGCGACGCATTGAATTTAGTGCGAGTAGAGCTATTGCAACAGTTGCAGAAAAATGTTCAAAAATCCTTAAATCCAGGAAATGGGGAAGATTATACTGTACAAGGAGTGGTGTTAATGCGTTTATATTGCGCCTTGCGTGGAATAGCCGGATTGAAGTAAGTGTAGAAAATGTATGTATTTTTTATTCATACTTAGCACAAAGATGCACCGTTAAAAGAAAAACACGATCTCTCAATTTTATTAGGATAATTCACATATTGGACAATATATGCGGTATAAATTATTCGAAATACCAGGAAATTCGAAAATCTTTATATGGGAACTAAGGGAAGTATTGCCCCGATCCAACCGTTTTGTAGCACACAGACTTATTACTATAATCCAAGGATTCTCAACGATTTTTTCCGAATAACCGATATTTTCGTTAAAAAGTCAACTATAGGCACTGGAACCACATATTCAGTTCCTAGGGACTTGAACAGTTTGGATCATTAGTATATAGGAAAGTGAAAATTTAAAGTCAAATTAAAATTGTATTACATGGAAGTAAAGCGAGGCTGTAGTCCTAACACTGTAACATAAAAATGTCGGAGGAATGTGACGTACCAAACTTGGTTGAAATATGTCGGGCGGGTTTCGAGACATGTGATTTCACCTAAAAGTGGGGATGCTACACCCATTGTCCAATTTTGACACTCCTCCTTGACTCCTTTAAAGCCAATTCATACCATCTCAGAAGTAACATTTAAAGATTCTGTCGCATTTAGTCATTGGTTTAGCGCGGTTTTCACATTGTCGGTAGGAGTTTTTATAATATTTTTGCTAGGCGAATTCGGTTCTTGTAGCTTCTGCGGTTGAGAAGATATGTACATTAAACATATAAGAAGGCGGGACCACGCCCACTTTTCAAAATATTTCTTGTGAAAAAGGCGTTTTGTGGGCGTTGTTGTTGTCCAACTACGCCCATCTACAACTCGTCCTTACTTTTTTTACCTAGAAACACGTGTACCAAATTTCGTCAAGATATCTCAATTTTTACTCAGCTTGCATGGGCGTACAGACATACAGTCACCCGGATTTCAATTTATCTCGTCATCCTGATCATTTATGTATATATATATGTCTATCTCCATTAGTTTTAGACAATAAATACAAAACTATTGTACTTTGTAGCAACATGTTGAAAGAGTTTACAATTGTCTTTCCAAGCAATTCTAATTCCATTGATAGTTCAGAAAATATTAACACATTTCAAATTTGAGTTTATGCACAAAATTTGTATATTTTTTCCATAGTATGGAGGCCTTTTTACCCTCATATTATCTTTACCTTCGTCATAAGACTTTCTTTTTTTAATATTTGTTATGATTTTTTTTTAAACCGTCATAAATCATATTTGCTTTATAAATAAACACAGTTAAAAACGTAAAACCATGCTTTTAAAGCACATTCAACTAAAATGCGAATAATAAATCTTAATACAATATAATCTTATTGATTTATATTGACCGAGAATTTTTGGATTTGTTGCCGTATTTCAATCAATAATGACTTTAAAAAATAGAAAAGCTTCTTGAATGGTCCCACATTGGGAAGACACTTGAAAATCGTTGGTTACGTTTGTCATTCTGAACTTTATTCCGATGGTGAACTGTATTTTGTTAATAAGCCTTAGTTCATATAAGCACCTGCGCACTCTCCAGCTCTCGGCAATTGTGAGACAAGTATAAAAATGACGAAATTACTGCCCGATTTCAGTATGCCTGCCCCACAAAGAACGGAAGAGCTCTCCACTGATTAGGTCAGAGGCTTTGGGATTTCAAGTCAAACAAACATATTCTTTTTTACTTCCGAATCAAGGGTAATTTTTCCATTTAATAACAAACCGCGAGACTGGCGTTCAAGGGGTATTTTTTTCTTGAACGCACCAGGGGCACCTTAAAAACTTTTTTGCTGAAGCACAGTTGCGAAAAGACTTTTCGAGTTCGGCTAAGGTCGCATGCCGACGGATACTAATGGAAAAATAACCTTTGACAGCCTATTTAGTAATGTTAGTTCGGAAAGTAACCTTATAGTTTTTGCGAGTTTGCAATGAAAACCTTGCGAACCGGGAGTGTTTGTGAGAAATATCTGTTATGGTGGCCAAAAATTAATTAGTAGAACAAATTAATAAAAGAATATTAAAGCTGAGAAAAATGAATAAAAAAAATATTAGAGCAAGTACCAAGTGAAGTGAGACAGACACAAGTTGAAGCTCCTTGCTTCCCACGGACAACTGTGCGTGGTTTGCGAGACAAAAACAAGTACATAAGCATAATTAACATGCCATCGATTCTATTTTATTAGCTTGGTTGCAACAGCTTCTTTCGTTAGAAGTTGGGCTTGATTATCACTGAAAATGACAATACGTTTTTCTGCAGAATAATCTCTGCATATCTGCTAAAGGCAGGCTCCTTAGCTTGAAAAATGTTTGGAAATATATTCTTGGACACTGACAGGTTGGTGCGTAGTCCCATTATCCAAGCCACAGTTCCACGTGCTATGCGTCGTCTGTATACCGTACTTTCAATTCTAAGATAAACCTCTGTTATTATTTTCAAAACGATGTACTGTGCAGCGAGGTGCAGAATCAATTTTCGTGTAGCGATTGGGTACGTGCACATGACACCAGTGATACATGCACATGTCAGCCTCTGAACTATCGTCAGCCGTTTATCAACAGTTGTTATTTAGACCATTGACATTCAAGATGCCGCTGAATATGTGGGCATTGGTCAGACTATCGGAGCGTACTTCAGGCGAGTTGCAACTCAGGTTCTACCAGCTAAACTTTGGCACATATTCAACGCTTTGGTGGAATTTACAATGTGGGAGTCCATTTTCTTGTTTCATGTAATTTTAGTGTCTCCTACCAAGGATCCTATATATTGAATAAATCTCTTCCTCGTGAACTGAATAATTGCCGTTTTGGGTTTAATGTTAAGCTCCACCATCTTTTAACCTCTTTGAATAATGTCACATAGTGTGATCCATTAGACGTTATTACATACAGAAGCTTATCTACTACTAGGCTCCATAGCCAAGGTGACATCACTTAAACCTGAGGGCATCTCTTTGTCCTTGCTAGTGGGATGCTACATGAGACTAATGGAGTTTTCCACTTATTTGGAATGTAACGTACGCAAAACTGTCGACTTTTGTATAGTAAGTTTTCGATAAGTTAAATCAGAGAGTTTTTTTAGATGTACATACATATATATTAAATAAAAAGTGCAAAGCATTGTTTAATAATTTATTTCTATTTTTTATTTTTACGTTTAGATTTAATGATGATGAAGTCAATATGTTAACTCAACTAGTTACTAGCCGTCCACAACCAACACAATCTGGACTTCGATTCGTCTCATTGGCCCTTTGTATGCTTATTGCGTGTCCATCTCTTGTATCAACAACAGCTCTTGAAAATAAATCAGTTGAATGGCTACAATGGCTTATAAAGGAAGATAAATTTTTTGGCAGAAAGTCAGACACCTCTGCATCTCTGGGTGAAATGTTGCTCTTGCTCGCAATACATTTCCATAGCAATCAAATAACTGCCATAAGCGAGTTAGTTTGTTCTACTTTAGCCATGAAAATTCCTATTCGTCCAAATAGTACAAATCGTATAAAACAAGTTTTCACACAAGATCTATTTACTGAACAAGTGGTCGCATCTCATGCAGTTCGCGTGCCAGTAACACCCAATTTAAATGCAAATATTTCCGGTTATCTTTCGGTCCATTGTATACATCAATTATTGAAATCTCGGGCATTTTTAAAGCATAAAGTTCCTATTAAACTGTGGATTTACAAGCAAATCTGTAATTCTGTACGACCAGTTCATCCTGTAATGCCAGCTTTAATAGAAGTTTATGTTAATTCGTTAATAGTACCGAATCCGTTAGGGAAAGTCAATGTTGATCACATGCATAAACCATTCTCTGAAACCGAAATTTTACATATTTTTAAATCATCGAAAGCTACTACTATTGATAACAAGAACTTCTTTGGAGCAACCCAAACTATTTCAATTGGCGCCACATCCGCAGAATTGGAGGAAATAATGGGCATTGAAGTAAAATGCAATTTAACGGCTCAACTACTTATACTATATTATTTGGTTCTTTATGAAGAGACTCGTCTTTCTAATACACACAATCAGTCTACCACCGGAAGAAAAATAAAAGAGTATACCAATAACTTCCTGGCAGAACTGCCTATGAAGTATTTGTTGCAGAAAGCGGAACAATATCAAAATGATTACGCTGGTCTATTTCATCCATTACTTCGCTTAATTATCTCGAACTATCCTCATTTGAGCATGGTTGACGATTGGATGGAGGAGCACTATGTATCTAATCCAGTATCACCAAACCTCATGGTGAATAAACAAATTGAACGTGCTCTTGTTATTAAGGCACTTGAAAAAATAAGTACGAAACCGGCAATAGCAATACGGGTTTTTAAAGCCCTTTTAAAGCTGCCTGCTGAAGATCTTGCGCAGTATACAGATTTAATAGTTGAAAACATGTCAAAAGTTTTTCAGAAAAACATTCCACGAATTATTCAAGAACTCTATAAGGATATATGGTTACGACTTAATTCGGTTTTACCTACTAGTTTTTGGAAAATGTCTTTAAATTCTGTAATGAATGTGGAAACTGGTGCTACTAGATGTACATATGTTAATGAAGATTTGTTGGATCCATTACAGGTTCTAAGGTATGTCTGCAACTATTTATATAACTATTTCTTTTTTTTACTCCGAAGAAATGAAATATACGATTTACATATTTCAGGTGCGGTAAACATGTGTTTTACTCTCCTTACACGTTAATGATACTGCTCCGAATACTTCAAGGAAGTTTGGCCGCATCTAAAGCTTTTCTCAACATACAAATGCAATCTAAACAGATATTAGATAAAAATGGTCAGTTACAAAGTGATAGTGATCGCGATGAATTGAAGACAGCATTAATTGCATCTCAGGAGAGCGCAGCTGTGCATATACTTCTGGAGGTTTTAGCAGACATGAACAAAAATGCAAAAGACACGGTAGCAACGTTTTCGTTACGAGAAACGCAAGGCATAATATGCTCCTTTATACATCAGGCTTTTATATCCGAACCTTCCTTAGCTAAACTAGTTCACTTCCAAACATATCCACGAGAAGTTATACCAATGATGGTAATGGGTGTCCCTTCAATGCATATATGTATAGATTTTTTGCATGAATTTCTCAGTATGCCGGAAATGGATAAACAAATTTTTACAATCGATTTAGCATCACATCTCGTTCTTAAATACGCTATACCAAAAAGTTTAAGTGTCTCAAAATTCTGTATTAACACAGTCCAATCTTCCTTATCTCTACTTTCGACACATGCTAAGTGCAAATTTTTAAGCAACATTCTTCCGGCCCTTATACGATTTGCAGAAGCTTTCCCAATTTTAGTTGACGACTGTATTAATATTTTGATGTTAACGGGAAAGAGTTTGCATTCACAGGGAACTTTAGGTATTAACTCAACTCAAATGCAACTTACATCAAATACAAAACAAAAATGCTTCAAGGATACACAACAATATATAAGCATGATAGAGGAAGCTTTTGAAACGCTGATTACTAAAATTGTGAATAAAGTTGAACTGTACTGAAACTGTTCCACAAACGTGAATAATCAATTCACCTAGACAATAAAGAAATAGTAAACAATGTCGCAATGACTTCCCCGTTATTTTTGAGTTTGTTGGTGATATTAATAAAAAGATTTATCTGAACTAAATCGTTCTTCTTCTTAATTGGCGTAGTCACCGCTTACGCGATTATAATCGAGTTAAGAATCGCGCGCCAGGGGTGGAGGTCTTCTTCTTCCTCTGCTTCCCCCGGCGGGTACTGCGTCGAATACCTTCAGAGCTGGAAGGTTTTCGTCCATTCGGACAACATGAGCGTAGCCGCTGTCTTTTAATTCGCTTAACTATGTCAATGTCGTCGTATATCTCATACAGCTCATCGTTCCATCGAATGCGATATTCGCCGTGGCCAACGGGCAAAGAACCATAAATCTTTCGCAGAACTTTTCTCTCGAAAACTCGCAACGTCGAAATCAAATCAGTTGTCATCGTCCAAGCCTCTGCACCATATAGCAGGACGGGTATTATGAGTGACTTATAGAGTTTGGTTTTTGTTTGTCGAGAGAGCACTTTGCTTTTCAATTGCCTACTCAGTCCGAAGTAGCACCTGTTGGCAAGAGTTATCCTGCGTTGGATTTCTAGGCTGACATTGTTGGTGGTGTTTACGCTGGAACC